GCCAGAGGACAGGAAAGAGGTGAGGAGACAGAGGACAGGAAATGAGTGGGAGGAGAAAGGGCTGGAAGAGAGCTAGAAGAGGGAGCCGGAGGACAAATCTTGGAGAGATGGACTGGACCTAATAAATCATTAAAAGCAAGTATAATGGGTGAAATCTAAATGTTAGGAAACTATGAGGGCTTGGAGGTTTAGGAGGGAGTAACTATTGCCCAACATTGTGTTTTAGGTTAATTAAATAAACCCAGTCTCTGTGTGGTGATTTGGTTATACAGCTATTTAGGATTAACAGTAAGCTTTATTAAAAGATAATTATTAGTAAATACTAATCGTCACCTACAACAGAAGGACTTTAGGGCACAGTCACTAAGCCCCCAGTGCCTAGCACATTGCTTTCTGTCTGTGGCAGGACAAGGGTGGGATAATAGAGCTCATAGTTGACTTTCTTAATTTATTTGCATGTGGGAATATTTTGGGTAATTTTGGAGTTTAAAACATACTATTTGGAGCTAGAAAGTTGATTTCCCAGTTAACTGCTCTTCCAGAGAAACTGAGTCCACCTATACTGTGTAGCTCATGACTACCTATACCTCCAACTGAAAGAATCAGACTAATTTTGTAACCTATGCTTCTTTTAATTGCCTTATAACTTATATTTTCAAGTTTTAGGCTCATGTTAATTAAAGCCTCTTAGTGCTTCTCCAGAGAGCCAAGGAATGTAAAAGTTCCTGACATTAGCCATTTGTGAGGGCAGAGATAAGGAAGAGAACAAGCAGAGATCTCTACTGAATGGAGAGAGAATCACCAGCTGGCACCTGTGAGATGAACTTTGTTTGGAAACTGGGCCAAATGGCCCCAATCCTTCTCCTGAATAGCTCCTGACCTTTGATCCAAAGCCTGTAACCCCCACTCCTCAGAACAGACACGGAATGAGCTAATTACTCTCCCACCTTTAACTGTGGCTATATCTCATATGGCAGGAAATTCCAAACTGACTTGAAGATCAGATATTTACGACAGGGCTGACCAGACCTAAGGGTGCCCAGAACCAACCAATTATTTTAAAAGTTAAATACCTCATCCAATCCTGACTTGCCAATATTGCAACCCCTGGAATTTTCCGCGCTTTGTCTTTTAAAAACCTAAGGCCTTTGTCCCCCGGGGCCACTCCTTGCTGACCAGCAGGAGTGACCCTATTGCACAATGGTCAAAATAAACCTCTTGCGATTTTGCATCGATGATTAGTTTCCTGGGTTCTCTTCATACCTTCTTAAAATTAGGCTCATGCTGGGCCTAATACCAACCAGGGGATCTGATGTCCTCTTGTGGCTTCTATGAGCACCTGCACCCTTATGTACATACACACATTTACACATAATTAAAAACAAATGAATTTTATTAATTTTTATCTTTTTTTTTTTTCTGTATCAGGCTTTCTCTGTGTGGCTCTGGAACTCACTCTGTAGATCAGGCTGACCTGGAACCCAGATATCTGCCTGCCTCTGCCTCTCTAGTGCATATACCCACCACTGCCTGCCTGCATTTCTCTCTTTTTAAATGCACTATTAGAAAATCTGGAATCACACATGTAATTCAACTGTTCCTAGTAGATGTGCTAGGTTTGTCTGAGGAATGTGGTGCCAAAGCTGGTTGTCTCCTACTAAAGGTACAAGGTAGGTCTCCAGGTCCCTCAGCCATAGGACCAGGGTTGCGTGTGGCTTTGGACTTGTCACATAGCCTGGGAGACAAGGGGAAGGAAGAGCAGCACAGAAGGACAGAGGTGATACCCAGAGCCTACTAGGAACAGAACCCACCAACCCTCAGACTCCAGAACTGCCAGGGCAGCCAGGACAAGGTAGACACTGAGAAACTGGCTGGCATAGCTGGGCTGCTGCAGGCAGGCTGGCTCAGGCCAGCATTAGTTACTTACAAACGCTCACCCTGTTTCTGCATACCCCTCAGAAATTTCTTATAGTTTATCAACATAATTCACACAGATGAAAGTGCATCCTTAACACACAGTTCAACTACAAAACATTCCTCTCTGGCCAGAGACCACCCCACACCCAGCAGCAGTCCCTCCTCTCATCTTCTCACTTCTCAACATCTCATCTTCTCAACAGTATCATAGAATGTCTGTGTTTTTATGAGTGGCATATCTCCTCAAAGTCCACCCATGCTACATCGGAACCTCATGCCATTTTATAACCAAATAAAAGATAATTGTATGGATGGACCATGTATTTATCATTCAGTTATCAGACATGTGGGTTGCCCCCCTTTTTGCTATCATAAATAATGTTACTGCGAACACTTGTATATATGTTTTGTTTGCCTCCTTGTTTTTATTTATTTCTTTGAGACAGTCTTGCTATATAGCTGAGGCTGGCTATCTTCTTGCATTAATCCCCTACCCCCAGTGTTAAGAATATGCCCAGATGGTCTCCCACTTTTGTGTGAATACATTTCCATTCATCTGAGGAATCGCCAGATTATTTTTCACTATGATGGTGGCATCATTTTAGGCCTTCTTTTGCAGTACACAGGGCCTATTCCACATAGCCTCACCCATACTTGTTAATTCTTTCTTCCACTTCATATACTCTGTGAGAAGTGTATCCCAAGCTCAAGGATCAAGAGCTGAGGCCTCCTCTCCAATGAAATGCTATACCAGATCTGACTCTCAGTGCGTGCATTGGAAAATGGGTGACACCAGTGCTTCCTGGGACAGGGTTGTCTCATGTACACAAAGGAGACACTACAGGTATCCACCACTTACTCCCACCTGCCCTCTAGATCCTTCAAAGCCAGAAGAGGAGAAGATAATGACCCTGCTCACCTCCCTGGGTGTCTTGTTCTAAAAAGAAACTGGAGTTTGGCCTCAGACACGGGCTATAGCAGTTTCTTTGGACTCTTCAGCAAACATGGACACAAGGTCCTGCATCCCACCTGACTTCTATAATCCACATTCCTTCAACATTCATCAGTGAATTTTAAATCATCCCCTGCCACTCAGATGTCAGTAATTCAATGACTATGGACTTACACAAAGCCAAAAAACATGTGTCCTTCCAACTGGTATAGCTCTGGACAGGACACCATGACTGCAGCTTAACAGGGTTTCTGCCTGCTCAAACATAAGCCACCTGGCCATTATAATGATCCATGCGAACAACTGTATGAACAACATACACACTGAGGGGAAAGTCCCTGTGACTGACATTTGGGTTTCATCAGAGAACAGGTGGAAATCCTTATAGAACTTGGGATAACCATGTGACATAAGAAAATGAGCTGTCTTAGTTAATTTTTTATTGCTGCAGACACTGTGACCAAGGCAACTTATAGAAGAAAAAAATTTACTTGGGGCTTATAGTTTTAAAGATGAGTCTCTGTCCACAATAGCAGGGGAATGGTGGCAGGCAGGCAGCCATGGCATTACAGCAGTAGCTGAGGTCTTATCTCTTGATTCAAAAGCATGAGAGCAAGAGAGTAACTGGGAATGATGCAGGCTTTTTGAAACCTCAAAGCCCAATCCCCAGTGACACACTTCATCCAATGAGGCCATACCTCCTAGTCCTTCCCAAACAGTTCCACCAACTGGGGACCAAGCCATCAAACATATGAGAATATGAGGGTCATTCTCATTCAAACCACCACATGGGCTATGGAACACTTTAGGGAGAATTCTGACCTATGAAAAAGAAAATGGGCAGGTGGGGCTGGAAAGGCAGGGATGGAGGTTAGGCTTCCAGAAAGGGGCACTGAGTAACAAGAAGGAAAGGAGCCAAACAAGGGAGAGTGCCCAGCCTGGTCAGGTACAATACAGGATCTTGGTATTGGGGCAGAATGGCTGGACCAGAACTTAAAGAAGGTATGTTAGCAATGTTCCACTCCAGGCATCAGTTAAGGGAAACTCAGCCCACAGAGGAATGCCAAAGGACACAGAGTCCCAGGGAGCTCAGGATTACAAGGTCTGCTGAGCACCAACAGAAGGCTGGCACCATCTTCATGATCTCATTCAGTTCTCATTAAGGCCTTGGGAGGACACTCCTGCTATTGATCATGGCTATTGTTACACATATAGATGAAGGGATGAAAAGCTAAGTAGCTGTCCCAGGGTCACACAGGGTATCAACAACCAGGCAAAGAGGGGTAATGGGCCCAAGTTCCACTTGAGCATAGCTACTTGGGTTGGGTGTGTGGTGCTTAATTTCATGAGTCAACCAAGAAACCTGACACATGGTGCCCCAAGTATCAGGGAGGAAATTTTAGCAGAGATCAACGTTTGTATCAGCAGCTTTGGGTAAGGTGTGTGGCCCACATACTGTGGGTGGGCCTTGTCCAAGTAGAATGTTTGAAGGTGGACATCAACCTCCAAGTGTCCTGCAGAGTCTACATTGGACTGCACTACCTGTTTATACAAGGACACAAGCCCTGTCAGACTGGCAGTTTTTCTGGATAGCTGTGATCCCACAGTGCAAAGGGCATGTGGAAGAAAACCCAGTCCCAATGGCCACACTTGCAATGGGGAGGAGCAGCCAGGACAGCGCCCACTACCGGAGAAAGGCCTCGCGGGCTGCAACACCACAAACCAAAGAGCTTAGGCCTGACTCCGAGCCCCAACCCGGCTTCTGAGGGCCCTGGCTGGTACTCCTGAAGACTTTGACCTCTGAGTAGGCAGCTCTGCTGTGCACGGTCCACACCGGTTCCCGGAACCTCGGCCGGAAAGCTCCGCACGGTTTTCCCCTAAACACTGCTCACTGGCGCAAGAGAAGCTCTGAGATTTCAGTGAAAAAGATGGGGTGGGTCTGGCTTGAGTAAGGGGCGTGGTCACGTCCGGCGGAAGGCAAGAACTGGGAGGTGGAGCAGATGGGAGGGAGTGTCCATATGGAGATGAGCGTGGTCTTATTGGCGCTGAGCTGGGGGCCAGGAAGTGGACAGATCAGCCTGGCATGAAGGGGCGTGGCTATGTGATCGGAGACCTTGTCCGCAGTCCTACGGACTTGGTTAGTTGGCTCAGGGCGGGACTTCAGAGAAGGGCCTGGGACTGGGCGGGGCCTCGGGCCGTCACGTCAGTCTCAACAAGGCGGTCTCAACACGGCGAGTCACAACTCCAGTTGCTCGCCCATTAGCCGGGTCTCACCAACTTTGTATCGCTGCTGTCCTGGCTCTTGGCCCGCGATTCCCCAATTTCTGTGGGACGCCCTCCGTCTGCCCCGCGCTCTCGGGCTAGAATCGCTGAGTTTCTCCATCGCAAAGCAGATATCCCCATTTCCATGAGCTCCCTAGGGGATCAGGTACGGGACTGGCACCAGGGGGTACTGGCTGTGGCACGCGAAGACTGGGACTGCGCGCTGTGCCTCTTCTCAAACGTCCGGGAACCTCTGGCCAAGATGTACTTTAACATGGGCTGCGTGCACCTGATGGCAGGGGACCCCGAGGCTGCGTTACGGGTAAGCGCCCCAGGATTGGTGACAGAGATTCCCCGCATCCCTGTGGGAGGCCTATAGGAGAATGCAAGTGAAGATGTGACTGCAGCCTGAATCCTTATCTTCCAATGGCCGCCCTTCTCCACTTCATAGTCACTTGGAAGGGGAGGAATCTCTACTTACCCTATCAATTAACTAGAGATTGTTCTATTAATGTTCCCTCTTAGTGACTGTCTGAAGCAGGTAGGAGCTATGTGGCTTGGAGACCCCTCTCTTAGCTGAGGCAAGAATGGGGCACAGGGCCACATGAGCCAAATTACTGCAGTCCTGTATCCGTCAGAGCAGCCCAGGCTCACATGCTCAGGACCGAAGGAGCGGCATACCCGAAGGCAGGCTGGAGAGTAGGTCAGAGTCAGCAGACTGGGACTCTGCCGGTCCTGGGAAGGTGTAGGTGTGTGGAAACAGATTTCAGTAGATGCTGGTGGTGAGGGTGGTACGCACAGTCTGTCTTCCCAGTTCTTAGCACCCACATGTCTCCCCACCGCTTCTCAAAGCAGAACTGCTCAGGGGTGCACAGTGTAGAGGAGGCATCAGCGCCTTCCCTGGTGCATGGTCATCAGTGTGATAGCCATTCCTGGGATGTGATACAAACCTTCAGCATCCTGTCTACAGCTCAGACGTTCTCATCATTCGCCATACAGACAAGAAGCAAAGATGCCCAAGCACCAAGGGTGAGAGTAGAAAGACTGGGCTGTGTGGAGATGGTCTCTTCTAGTAGTTCTTTCTTGAAATTTTAATATTATATATTTATTTATTTACATGTGTGTATAAATCAGGAGACAACTTGCAGGAGTCAATTCTCTCCTTCCATCTTGTGGGACCTGGTGATCAAACTCAGGTCACCAGGCATAGTGGCAAGTGACTTTACCCCCGAGACATCTTGCCAGCCTTCATCTATTATTTCTTACAGATTCATCTGCACCTACAATTACTTCAATAATTGTTTCTTCATTAAAAGCCGGGCATGGTAGCGCATGCCTTTAATCCACAGTTCTTTACAGGAAGAGGCAGGCAGAGCTCTGAGTTGGAGGCCAGCCTGGCCTACAAAGTGAGTTCTGGGACAGTTCCAGTTCCAGGGCTACACACAGAAAAATCTAGTCTTGAAAAACAAAACAAAAAACCAAAAGGGTTATTGTTTAGGAAAGGAAATGTGACGTTCTGTTACTAGGCGGTTCCATAGAGGCTCGTGTCCTTACCTCCTCACACTGTAACTAGAGTAGAGTTCAGATGGTCTGCTGTAAGGAGAAGAATGTGCAGTGCCTTAAGTCAATAAAATTTAAGGATAGGCACATCAGTTAGACCTGGAAACTTAAGAAGCAGGTGGCATAAGAGCAATAAGGAAATCTAAGGCTGCACTTTGGCCCGCCAGTGCAGCCATTCCATTTCTAGGCTGATGGTGGCATGCAGACTTCAAAGTCAGATGCAGCTCAACAGTCACCCGGCCAGATGTGGTTTCAGGAAACTACGCCAGGTTTAACCAATGGCTGCTTTCCCTGCTGGGGACACACATTTCTGAGTCTGGTTTAAGGAGCTGTGCTTTCTGTGCACAGAAAACTTCTGTGTTCTGATTCTAATCAATACCTGGTATTTACCATTTTGTGTGAGCTACCCAAAGAAACTTTAAACTGTTTATTTGTGTATTTTATGTATGTGAGTGCTCTGTCTGCATGCATACTCGTATACCAGAATAGGGCTTTGGGTCCCATTATTGATGGCTATGAGAACACGAGGTTGCTGGAAATTGAATTCAAGACCTCTGGAAGAGCAGCCCTTTCCAGCCTCCAAAAAGAGATTTTAAAAAGCCAAAAATCTTACACAATCCTGTCTCCCAGAGATAGGAGCATTTTCTTTTAACTCAGTGCTCACTGTGGACAAACTGGTTTTCTATGCCACAGGGATGTGCCCTGAGCCTATTGTGAGGTGCTCAGGGCAGCTGAGAAATTGGTGCAGTATTGCACCTCTCCAGGCTCTGGCTTTGCACAGCGCTGCTGTGCAGCTCTCGTCAGTTGATTCATTTCCATGTGCATTTGTGGCACTGGGTTACTGAGATTTGTGTTCCACAAGCATTCCTGTCCCTAGGCATTTGACCAAGCACTGACCAAGGACACCTGCATGGCTGTTGGCTTCTTCCAGCGGGGAGTGGCCAATTTCCAGCTGGAGAGGTGAGCACAGCAGGATCCCCTGTCCCTTATTGGGTGGTTATTTGCACTTCTTTCCTTCCTTCTCTCCTCTGGAGCCCCTTCAGCCTGGATGAGGGTAACTGGTTAGTCTGGAGCCCACACACATGGTCCTTGTCTCCATCAAGATTCACAGTGCTTTCCCAACACCCCTGGCTTTCTCCTCATGTCTGCTGTAGTGAGAACACTATGTTTATAGTCGGTTTATACATGAAAACCAGGCTTTATCCCACAATGTGGAGGCCACTCAGCTCTCTAAGAGAATAATCAGGGATAGAGGCTCCAATTCGCTCCAGAGGGCTAACTGAGGGAAGTGGACTATCTACTGGGGAACAGATTTTATCCAGAGTTGGTGAAGGTCTCATAAGGTTAGGACCTGAGAGGCAAGAAAGGAATGCCCAGGGCAGTAGGAAGAGGGGTTGGGGTGTAAGCAAGGGCTCTGTCAGGCACAGAGAGCAGGTGTTCAGGAGCCTATGCAGAACAGGACAATAAACTTCTGTTAAGTACACTGGTCTGGACTTGAGTACCCACGAAGTGCTAATATTTAGGTGAGTACTATTGCCTTCAGGTCTTCCAGAGTTGGCATGGAGAGAAGGATGGGTGGGGTACCCAAAAGCCACCCTCCACAGGTTCGTCCCCTCCCTTGTAGCTATTGAGAGACCCCCAATGCCCGCAGGTTCCAGGAGGCTGTGTCTGATTTCCAGCTGGCCCTGGCCCAGCTGAGAGGCAATGCTGCCATTGACTACACACAACTGGGTCTGCACTTCAAATTGCAAGCATGGGAGGTGAGCAAGCATTTATTTTCTGTAGAGCTCAGATGCCAAGCAGTGTCACTGGGGCTTGGAGATACTCTTTGTGGCCCTGGGGTTCTGTTGGGGGATCTAGGGTTCTGCCATGGCCCTAGGTTGCAACAGGGGTCCTATAATGTAGTTTGAGGTCCTGACTGGAGTCCTAGGGTGAAGACTGGAGTGTTGCTGGGGTTATTACCATTATGTTGATGTTACTGTCATGGTCAGCCATGTGGAATGAGGTGTCCTGTCTAGCCAAAGACTTTTGGAGCCCTGAAATCCACCAGCTCCTTGATTGCCCAAGGAGGTTGGAGTGGCAGTGAAGGGAGTGGACTACTCACACACTTTGGAGCCAGCCAGCATGGGAGAAAAAGCATGGAAGAAAAGCAGGACAGAATTGAAAATCATGACAAGGTGATAGATCAATTTGGGGTAAGGGAGTTGGCTCAGCAGTACCTCTAGCTGATCCAGAGAAAACAGAAGGATAAGAGAGCCACGGGAGGACTAGGCAGGTCTCTCTCCTTGTAGCAAGGCTAGGTTTGCTGTGTGCTCAGCTCTGCAGAGTGAGGGAGCATGGGCTCCCAGCATCACTGAGTTCACATGTCACTGAGTATGTAGGTGGCCCGTTGGAGTGCTCTGATACACTACATGTGGTTCTTAGTGTCCCTGGACTGCCAATGGGAATCCTTAGACATACTCTAGACTTGGAGGTACAGGGAGTAGTTAATGGTGGTGGCAAGATGCAAGATTAGGAGAGTGTTAGCCAGGGGGATTTTTGATGAGCTACCATGTGAGAGTTGGGAGTCTAACCTAAGCCCTTTGGAAGAGCAACAAGTACTTTAACCCACTGAGCCATCTCTCCAATTGCCCCCCCCCATGTCCCCACAGGGGGACACTTTAAAAGGAGAGCTATTTGTGTTGTTTCAAGCAGAAAAGCCCAGAGCAAAACATGGCCCTTCTAGGACTAAACAGATATAGGGTCTGACTACTCAGCATTTGAAAACTGAGCCAGTCAGGCATCAGGTGGTCTGGTCCCTACCCATCATGTCACCTGAACATACAGAGGAACCTTCAGCTACTGTGACCAGGGAGCTCAAATGAGGACCATGTGGGGGGAGGCTGGTCCATATCTGTCCTTGTTTCTAGGTCCTATACAACAAGGCATCAGCACAGTGCCAGGCAGGGCTCTGGACCAACGCTGTCGATACTCTAGAGGAGGCAATCTCCAAATGGCCAGAGGGGGCCCAAGATATCCTGGACATTGCCCTGGACCAAGCGCAGGTGAGGAAGGCAGGTGAGAGCCAGGCTGGTTTGGACTCAGGTTCTATAGCTTATTCCTTCAAGACTAATGACCTCTCTCCTATATGACATGGAGAGAGGTAGCCTGGGTGCCCCATACTTCCTGTCACATGTCACACATGATGGATGCCCCTTCTACTTCAAGGCTCAGGCTCTTGCAGCTGTAGCCACCCAGGTTTCTATGCTCCATCCCAGAAACAGGTACCCCTGCAGCTGAGGCAAGTCCCCAAAGGTGAGGTCTTCCAGCCTCCCAGGCAATACCTAAAGCATCTGGAGCCCGTGGATTTCCTAGGCAAGGCTAAGGTAAAAACTGGGATGTTTTTCAGCTTGGGTACCCTGCTGCCAACATGAAGCTTCTGTCAGGCCCATGGTGTGGTGGCTCCTGCACTAGACACCCAATGTATCCATGAGGACAGCTGGGTGTGGGCTAGGCCACTTGAAAGTCAGAAAGTGGGCACAAGGCTCTTAGGGTTGGGATGAATGTTCCCAGGCTGTAGACCTGGAGGCAGAACTTACCAGAAGTCAGCTTTAAAGAAAGGGGCTCAGGCCTTTTGATGGGAATTCCTGGTGGTGCCTCCCTCAGCTCACACTGTTCTCCTGGATGCTTCCAGTGTCTGTGCATCTCCCTGTGTTTTTGTACCTCTGCTATAGATAGCAAGGTCCCAGAAGTGGGTGGTCAGCCTAGACCATATCGGGTCCCCTAAACCACAGGCTACGCTGGAGTATCCCACCTCCAAATGTGAGAGGGGAACTCAAAAGAGTAGTTACTTGCAGTGTCACAAAGAAGGGCCACCTTGGTAGTACTCTGGTGACCCCTAGGCTGGCCCCACACCCACCTCATTTGCAATAGCACTTGTGCTGGGCCTACCAACACTGTGTGGCTGTGTAGCTGCCTGGGGTGCACACTGCCTGTGAATATACCCTGAGGCAGACTGAGTACAGCTGCAGAAGAAATTGTGATTGTTCAACTATCAGAATTCACTGATCACAACATAAGGCTGTTACAAGAAACAAAAATATTTAAAAAGTTATACTAAAATTAAGTTTATATTATTGGTACATATGTTTCTTTTGGTCTTTTTTTTTTTTTTTTTTTTTTAACTGTAGCAGTCTTGAGCTAGGTATGCATACCCCGCAGAGTACAGTCACAGAAGTACTGGGAATTGGGGACCTGGAGGTGTAGACCCAATGGAGTACTAACCCAGCTGCATTCCTGCCCCTACTAGGTGGTGGCTTCTGTCATCCCTGACAACCACAACCCAGACATCCAGCCTCGGCAGGTAGGTGGGTAGGCATCAAGCAGACGCAGGCCTAGTTTTGTCCAGTTTTAACTGTGCACTGATAAGAAAAATTGGGCTTAGGCAGGATGGGCCAAAGGCTTGAGTCCCATGGTAGGAAAGCCTCGAGAATGAGGGTACCTCTCCTCCTATGGCCTGAGACCTAGATCTTCAAAGAGTTGACACCCACATCCCCACTCCTTCTGAGAGGCAGCTCTGACCAGGCAGGGATGGCTGGTTACTCTCATTCATTCACCTGTCATGAGCCAAAGAATAAGCCTAAGCTTCTGGGAAAGCAGGCAGTCAGGGATAAGGTAAGAGTCAGCTGTACCAGGGGATGGGCTAGTAGGGCCAACTCACTGGCACATGCTCAGACCCACCCCAGGGACCAGATGGGGCTGTCAGCAAAACTTTGGAGGCTCTGTTGGGCATATGGTGATCGGGTCATTTGACAGTCTGAGGAAAGACAGGTGAGAAGGTCCAAACAATGCAACCTTCCTTCTTGGCCATTGCAAGCCTTGAGAGCCCCTGGGTGAAGAGGAGCTAAGTGCGGACCCTTGCTGCCCTGTAGCAGCCCTAAGAGCCAGTGATGAGCAACTTTGAGAAGGTTTGACATGGGCTTATTACAAGACATAGGACAGTCACCTCCACTTTATCTCTCTGCAGTATTCAGTTCATTCCAATCCAGCAGTTCAACATTTTTAAGAGCAGTTATATCCTTTACAGCTGTGTTCAAAATCCCCAGGTACCTAACCCTGCATCTGCCAGCTCCTGTACTGGGCTGTAAGCTTCAGAACGGCCACATATTCTATTAGTCTCTCTTTAAAACCAGTTCACAAGCCACAACCAGGAGTGCCCAACAAGGGCAGAGGTTTCCACCTCTTCCAACTCAGGGCACCCTAGCTGGACACCTCCTCAGACTCTGCCCCGGGGCTTCTCAGGGTCAATGGGAAATCACCCAAGAAGAGTTGGAGATTGGCGGAAGGCCTGGGACATAGGCTGACTCCCCACTGATGCTGGGCAATCTGTTTGTGGACCAAAGGTCTGGAGGGACTCAACCCTGCCCCAAGGTGTGCCTAGGGTATGGGCCTACCATGAATTTGCTCCCAAACAGGTTTGGCTAACGACTTCCTGCTAGCTGCTGGTGAAGCTCCCAAATTACATCTATAACCACCGACTGTGCCAGGACAGAGCCCCAGGGAGTTGCCCCTTGAGTTCAGACCCACCCACCACCTCAAGACCCCTATACTCTCGGTCACACTCCCAGGACCCACATTCTTTTTGTATAATTGTTTATGAAAATCCAACAAAAGCAAAACCATATTAGGGAATGTCTAGGAAACACCGGCCATACAACAATGGCACTCATGGATGCAGACGCTGACAACTGGAAAATAGCCAGGTTACCAGCTTAAGTAGGAACACTTCAAAGGGGAGTGTGGGGGGAGGCTGTGGACACATTTATCTACTTGATTCATGCTATAAATTAGAATAGCTCATGTTAGGAGCAAAACCCTCCTGAGTATAAAGACTGAAGTCTGAATTATAAACTTGTCAAAGCGTTTCACCTGGACTGTGCTTTACACTTATCTACAGCATGCTCCTGTAACTTAGGACATACAAAGCATGCTCTCAGCATCCAGTTAAACGCACTTTAAGTTGTAGCCCCCATCGAACCTGAAGGATGCAATGGAAGTGGGTGATTTAAATAATAAAAGCACATGCATGTACTCAAACCTTGCATAAATAAATTTTAAATAATTTATACAAAATAGTTTTGCATAATGTAAGATGAAACAGGACCATCTAAACAAATGTGTTAGCATGACTGCAGAAGGTGTGTGTGATGAGGATCTACCAACCTCTGTCTTCCTTTGCAGAGGTTCAAGGAGGGGCCAGTCGGCCATCCATCTTCTCCAGCCATGGGTAAGAGAATCCTGAGCAATAGGGGTAGGAGGAGCCACCTCAGGAGAGCTGGGACATGGGCACTTGTCCCATAAGGAAAGTTTGAGGACGAGACAGCTACCCGCCAGTCATTCCTCTACCTTAAAGTGTCTCCTTTATGGAAAGGTGGTCCCAAGAGTCCTGCTCCATGCTACAGTTTGCTGGCATCTGGAGTCCCCACTGAAGATCCCGCAGGAGCTGGGGTAAGAACTGTCCTGCTCTTCAATCCCTCCTCATTGGGCACTTGAAACAGGGAAGGCCCTACCTCACAGTTTCTGTCTTTCAGCTTTCAACCCAGCCTCTGTTCTGATCCTTGGGGCTCAAGGACCAACCTCTCTTCAAAGGCTGTGCAACCATGTTTCTGCCCTCAGGGAGCAGCTGCTGAGGACCTTGAACCCTTGGTGACTGCCACTTTGCAGTGCCACTTTACTGTGCCCCTGAAGGTCCCAAGAGGAACTGGTTTGTCCAGTTTGCGGACACTGCTGGCTCAAGCTTTCCTTCACCATGCCCAGACGGGGCAGCTCAGGTGAGCCAGAGAGCTGTGGGGGTGGGGACCCTATGCTGTAGGAGAAGAGGATGGATCTGAGCTACCAGAAAGCCAGGCAGGAAGGGAACAAAGGGAGCAAAGCTAAGGCCTCCTTAGTTCTATGCCTAAGAATCTAGGCAGCCACTAGAAGGGCACACTGGAGAGAAAACACAGAAAGATAACACAGATAGTTATCTTCCTTTAGGGAAAGATCAGGCAACAGGTATTCCCCTAGTGTACCTACCCTCAGGACTCTCTTTGCAGTTACAAAGCCCCAGGAGATGAGAAGTCCTGGATCCCCATCCTCACGGAGGAATCCCTACAGAGTGTATGGAGGAATGTGGCCATTGGCCCACGAGGGTTGCAGCTCCAGTGCCGGGTGAGCCAAGGGGAGACACTGTGACATCTACTGTTGGTGGCCTAGGTGGGTGGAGGGGAATCCCATCTCTCATGCCACCCTTGCAGCCCACCCTTCTGCCACAGGGAGCCTGGGGCCGGCCAGTCCTCTACCAAGTAGTAGCTCGACACAACTACCCAGCCCAAAAGCCTGAGGATCTGGACTTCCACCAAGGGGACACAGTGGACGTTCTGTGTGAAGGTAGAACAAGGCTGCCATTTCCCAACACTGCTGGGTTGCCTAGGCCTGGTGAGGCTCTGCTCTTTAGGGCGCAGTCTTTGCTGTAAACAGACATAGCATCCAACGTGTCTCCACAGTGGATGAAGCATGGCTGGAGGGACACCGAGATGGCTGCACCGGCATTTTCCCCAAGTGCTTTGTGGTCTCAGCTGATGTCTGTGTGGAAGCCCCACCTGTTCTGGGACCCCAGCCAGGAGACCAGCAATAAATACTGTGACAAGACCAGTTTTAATTTAAACAAACAGACAAACAAACAAAAACTACCCTCATCTCAATTTGATCTGTATTCTGGGATTGATGATAAAGAGGATCCAACCAAAGGCTCTTGGGTGAGAGAAGCTGGGCTGGCCCGCAGACCTCGATTCTGACTCTCTGGTCCAATCTGATTATAGTGAGGAAGCAGGGGTCTCTGTTGGGCAAGCTACAACAGGCTTTGCAGACAGCCGGTTCCCACAGCTGCCCTTCCCCAGAGTCCCTTCTGTTTCCATCCCTTGGACTAGTACAATCCCCATAGCCATTGCCACCCTGAGAGCAGAAGGGAGTCAATACTATCAGGAATTGCCCTCCTGGCCTGGTCGATGGACTGGAGCCCTTAAGAGTCAGGCGTTCATGCAGGCAGGCATCTAGGATGTGCTCAGAAAGTCCTGTGTGCCAAAGACTTTCTTTCCTAAGGACAGTTGATGGTGGCTCACAAGGTAGACAACACAAACATTTATGTTGTTATTGAATCTCAACACTGTTCCTGCTTTAGACACACTGTAGCCTGTGGTCTATTTCACCTTGGTTTCTACCTAGTCCTGGGTCCAGAAGAGCTGGACTGAAGCTGCCCCAACAATGGCCACGAGGGTCAGCACTGCAAATACTACTCCAGCCGTCCAGATGCTGTAGCTCTGAGCCCACCATTGAGTCAGCGCCTCAGCTGGAATCATGCCTGTGAGGTTCAGCATGAAGCCCAGTGTCCAGCCAATGTCCATGCCACCTGCCTGTGAGACACATGCTGTTCAGGGCTGCTGGATAGCTGTTCTAGGTCCCATCCCATTCTTACCCTGAACCAGACATGCTGGGGCTCTCGGTGTCAGTCACCTGCTTTTGGAACTGGATGTTGGTCCAGGTCTCCTCACTGAATTTGTAACCCTCCAGCAGCAATACAAGGATGTATAGGCCTGAGGCACAGTAGTCCCGTAACCAGCGCTCCTGCCCTGGGTAGCTGGCTTCCACCTTGGGTTCCAGAAGCTTATGAGTAAGTAGAGCTCCAATACCTTCTAGCACTTCCCTCCAGCTATGGTGGGACCCCCATACATCCAGTCTCCAGACAACAGGACAGTATTACATATTTTAGAAAGCCCTTTTGTAAATCCCTGTGGACACCATCCTCCAGCTAGGAAAAGGCTGGGCTTGCCAACCTCATGACGACCAGAGGCTGAATTCATCAGAGCCCTGGACCTTTTCCTACCCAAAGCAGGCAACTTCCCTGCCACAGTGTTTTTCTCCCCAATCCTACTACCTAAATGGGTCTTTATCTCATATTTCTGTCCAGGAAAACCCAATAAGACCCCAGAGGCCCTGCTTGCCCATGGTATAGGGAGAGGGCTAGGGCTAGGGCAGGTACCCAGGGTCACCCACCAGCTTCCAGGGCTTCTGACAGAACTTCCAGACAGTGTCATTGACAGTGTTCAGTGGCTGCCTGGAGGTGAGGTTCAGGAAGTGGAAGGTGTAGTAAAAGTTGGAAAATGCCTAGGGGAAGTAGAGGAGGCTGTGCAACACTGTGGGAGGCTGGGACACTTTAGTCAGGTATTCACACAGGTGTTGGAGTCCCTAAGAGCCACCAGAGCACCTCCCGTTCAACCTGGGGCCCCAGAAAAAGCCTTGGGGAGCAGTGCTTACATAGAAGTGGCCATGCACAGGAGGCTGGTAAACTCCACTGAAAGCACAATCTTCTCGGCCCTCACAGCTGGAGAAGTTGAAGAGACCCTGGAGGGCTGCCACACATTTCCCGGGGTTGCCTATCCCTTCAACCGTGAGGTTCTGAGTGAGGTTCAGGGAGTCTGTAGTGTGGACACAGGGCGACTCATAGAGTGGAGCCAGTGGTAGGGTGGCCTGGTAGCCACGATGGTAACATGGATGTCTGACCCGCGCCACAGGGCTGTTCTGCAGAGAGAGGAAGGGGCATTAACTCTAATGTCTGATACACTCCTCACTCTACTCAATGCCATCCCACTTTTCCACCCTTCAGATACCAGCCTAACCTGTGCCAGCTGAGCCAGGAGCCTTCTCAGGACCTGGTCCCGCCCAAAGCAGAGGTAGCTATGAGTATAAATGCTATAGTTGGCACCGTACAGGTGGAAGGTAGCCTGGGTGCTCTGGTCTAGGATGAGGTCCTGAGGCACGAAGCTGATCTGGGCAGAGGCCCCACCAAGGTCCAGGGCACCCAGCAGCACCCTCTCTTCAGGAAGGATCCACTGTCCAGAGGAGTACTGACCAGAGATAAAGTGTTTAGCTCTGGGCAGCCACACTGGCCCCAGCTGCTGGCCAGCCAGCCCCAGACACTGGTCTCTCAGACCAACCAACCCCTCACCCTTGGGCAGCCCCTGTACCTTGAGGAACATTCCCAGGGCATAGTTGATAGTGATCCAACCAAAGGCACCCTCATCCTGCCCAGACAGAATCTTGGCACCCCAAAAATCCACAGGAGAATTGCTTAGTGTCTGGGAGACTGCAGCTAGGATGTCTCTTGCCTGAGAGCTGTTCTTCTGGCTGGGCAGAAAGGACCATGGCTGCAGGAAAGCTTCAGCACAACCACTATTGTACCTCATCCCAAACTCTACTGCACTTCAAGCCAGGGTATTCATGCCTGGCTTTTGGGAGTGACCCTAACAGATGCGACCTGTCACTATCTAACCTGAGCAGCCTCATTCCTGCTGTGGCCCCCAAGAATGTGGGCGTCTCTCGATGCTGTGTCTGTGGGATCAATGCCAGTGCCTCCTCCAGGCAGCTCTTCAGGCTTTCCCCAGCCTGTGTTGGGTCAGAGGTGTAGGAAGAGATTCCAGGTCCTGAAACACAGTATGCTAGAAAAAGGCTCCAAAGATGTGACCACATCCTAATGTTTGGTATCTTTTCAGAAGAAAAGGTTAAATTAAAGATTTTTAATGGGGCATGATGGTACATGCCTATACTCAGAATGTTGAGGCAGGCAGATTGAGGGTTCAAGGCCGATCAGGAATACATAGCAAGACCCTGTCTGATAAGGCTTATAGATAAGGCTGGTTTGTTTGCTCAGTGATGACAGTCCTCACAGAAAAAGGTAGGAAACCCTGAGTTCCTCCCACTTTGGGGCGTCTGGAGAGTGTGGTTTTGCTGTGCCTGGGCTCAGGCTTTTGATCTCTAAACTCAAAAGGAACCCCAGGCAATGAACTGGGGTCTAGCACCTGGTGGCCTCTGTCACCAGGGCAGTGTGGTACCTATATAGGAAGCTCCTAGAAGGTGAGTGTGGGATCAGATAGGAAATGTTAGCCCTGGATAAAGGGGAAGCACGCTGTATGAGATCCGTGTGTGTTCTCATCAGAGCCAGACTCCCTGTGTGACACTGCTTCTCACCTCAGCACTCTAAGCTTTCTCTTTTAGGTTGATGTGCTGTCCTGAGGACTATATATGTAGCTTCCTCCTGCCACCAAGTAGTCTCTCCCTCTGGGGCCTCCTGGCATCACCTGGAGTCCAAGCCAGGCAGCAATGACCTGCCATGGTATTGCCCACTGACCTTCTGTCTGGCAAGTCAGGGCCTGGCTGACCACTCCTGTGTTCTTCTCCTTGTTGGCTGGCCACTGGTACATAAACAGAGATGTGTGGGAGGAGCCAGCATCAAACACAATTCCAAACTAAGGACAACATTGGGATCAGAAAGGTATGAAGGTCAACATCCTGGTCACCCAGCCCAACATCCTCATCAGGTCCCAGAGACGCACCTTGGTGTCTGCAGGCAGGAGAACACTGGTTGCTTTCACCAGGATGAGGATGAGCATGGTGAGCCCAGAGGCTGCTGCAACTCCCAGCAGGGTCATAAAGACCCGTTCCTTCCAGGAGAGGCCCATGGCAAGAGAGGCTGAGCTTCAAGGGCAGCAGTAGACACTTGGGCTCCACCTGTTGTCCCAACCCCAGCCTTCTAGAGGAAAGATCTTAACACGTCCCAACCTTCCTCAGATGTATCAGATCTGGGACTCATGCAGCCTCCTTGGCCAGGCAAACAGCTAGGACAGCTAGAGTAGGAAAGGCCAAGAACAGTGTTCAGAGTCCAGCTGAGCAGGCCCAATATTGTCACAGAGCCTGGGGGCTAGTACAGGAGGTACTGTCTGAGGACACAGTCCAGAGGAGCCAGAACAGCCATTTCTGGTGTCCCTATCAAGGGCTAATGAAGGCCCATGTGAACCCCCACCTTTTACCCTGCCTTTCCCTCTGGGCCCTTGCTTTCTTGACTCCCCATGAGGAACGCCAGGTCTGGACCGAACTCAGGGCTTTATACTAGGGTCTCCTAGGGCAGGACATCTCTCTGGTAACCTCAGAACCATGCTACTTGGAATTCAGGGGCAGGTGTGGACTCCTCACAAGGGCAGCTAGCACTCCAAGCTTTTTAACAAAGACATTCATTTCTCCCTAAACTTGGATTTCTCTAATGGGGACCTGAGAGGTTTGATGAACCTGGGATGACCCCAGATGACCCCAGATGAACCTGGGCAGCTGACCAAGGCTGATCAAGGAGTGCCATTTTATCCATGGTGCCCAGGACATCCACATCCTTACCTATCCTGGAGCCCAGCGGTGGTTCTGGGTCCTTACTCACTCCAGACCACCAATGTACAGAGAGGATTCTAGGCAGCTCCTGGTCAGCTCTGCTTCAGAACAAGCCTCCTCACAATGATGTTGCCCGCTGGACTAGCCAAAGCTACAGTGTTTCCTGAGCCTTCAGTACTTCGAAGTTCTGTGGCTTTGTATCCCGAGGCATATTCCTGAAGAATGAAGACACTCCCATGAGTGACAAACAGTTTAGGACTCCTGGAAACAGGATAAGTTGGGCATGAGCTCATCTGAAGGAAGGGAGACCGAGGAAAGAGAGGACAAGTGACCTGCCCAGAACCTTGATTGTGATCCTACCCAGCACCCCAAAGCACAGTGACAAATTGGTCACACATGGGAAGCAAGAAAGTACAGACCTCCACCTCAAAGAATGTAGTACCCCAGGACAGGCAATCCCCTACCAAAGCCAGCCCACAGACCAGGACAGCCCTTGCGTCCCTCACCTGAACTGGAAGCCAACCTTCAATGATAGCTGGAGGAAGTTCTGCTTCTGGGTGCAGCCAATGTGCACCTGCTGTCCTCCACACCCTGTCTCCACCCACCTGAACCTGGGGCTGTGGGGGGAGGGGCACATCTATCTGCTGCTCAGGGTCTGCCTTCTCCTAGTTTTACTCTGTCAATCCTCAACTTACATCTTGTTGCTGGAGAGGAAGGAAGAACAGTGCCCCTAGTGCTCAGGGTAACCTTGGAACTGTCCTGAATGATGGAGAAGGTAAGACTAGGGACACCTCCTCTCCTTTACTGTGGACCTTGTCCTCTTCCCTACTCACTTGAGCCAGGCCAGAGTGGAGTCAGGTAACAGTTGACTGAATGTCCAGAGGCTAGAGGGCTGGGTGCTGGAAAGCCGCAAATGTAGGAGGGCCAGAGGAAGCCATTCTCCTTTAGACAACACGAGGCACTAGATATAGATCAGATGGTGGAATTGTTTAAGTAGCATGCATAAAGCCCTGTGTTCAAGCACCAGCTCCTCATGAAGCCAGATGTGGTGGTTCATGGTGACAATTCTAGCATTCAGAGGCAGGAGGATCAGAAGTTTAAGGTCATCCTCTGAGTTCAAAGCCAGCTTGGGCTACATGAGATCTTGTCTCAAAAAATGAAAAAAGAAACCTGGATATGGAGAGAGGGATCTATGGATAAAGTGTTTGCTGTGCAAACATGACTGCCTAAGTTCACATACACAGCCCACACATAAAAGCTAGGTGCGTGATCCCAGTGTTGTGGACAGGGTCGGGGCCAAGACTAGGTGAATCTCTAGATTTTATTGGCTAACCAGTATAACTGAACTGGTGAGCTTCAGGTTCAGTGAGAGACCCCATCTCAGACAGACAGACAATAGATAGTAGATATATAGATAGATAGAAGAGAGATAGATATAGATAGTATATATAGATAGAAAATAGATAAAATATAGATGATAGATAATAGATAGTTGATGATACATGAATAGTAGATAGATAGATAGATAGATAGATAGATAGATAGATAGATAGATAGATAGACGATAGATGGTGTCCTTGTTAGGGCTTCTATTGCTGTGATAAAACACGGTAACCAAAACAACTTGAGGAGAAAACGGCTTATTTTGCTTACACTTCCAGGTAACAAACAGTTCATCACTGAGGGAAGTTAGGACAGGAACTCAAGCAAGGCAGGAACCTGAAGGCAAGAGCTGATGCAGAGGCCATAGAGGAGTGCTGTTTACTGGCTTGCTTTTCCTGACTGGCTCATGCTGCTTTCTTATAGAACCCAAGACCACCAGCCTCGGGGTGGCAATGCCCGTGGTGAGCTGGGCCCTCCTACATCAATTATCAATCAAGAAAATGCTCTAGAGGCTTGCCCAGAGGCTAATCTGGAGAGAACATTTTCTCAGTTGAGGTTCCCTCTTCCAAAATTACTCTAGCTTGTGTCAAATTGACAAAAAAACTAGCCAGCACAATTAACTCCTTGTTATTCTGAGACACAAATGCATTACTGTTTCTCTTTGTTTTATTTTTATTTATTTTTTTTTTTTGAGACAGGATTTCTCTGTGTAACAGAGCCCTGGCTGTCCTGGACTCACTTTGTAGACTAGGTTGGCCTTAAACTCACAAAGATCCATTTGCCTGTCTCCTGAGTGCTGGGATTACAGATGTGCACCACCATGCTCAGTTTGCATTACTGTTAAATCATACTTTTTCCTTTCTTGTTCATCCCAAAATCTGATATTAATATTATAATATTAATATTATTAATATTTATGCTGGGATAATAATATCACAGTATAAAACATTTCAACTTAAAAAAATCTAATGGTCTTTAAAAATTCGAATACTTTAAAAGTTCAGTCTCTTTAAAATATACAAAGTCTTGTCAGGAGTGATGGTGTACGCCTTTAATCCCAGCACTCAGGGAGGCAGAGGCAAGTGGATCACTGTGAGTTTGAGGCCAGCCTAGTTAAAATGCAAGTCCAGGAAAGGCTACACAGAGAAACCCTGTCTCTGGGGAAAAAACAAACAAACAAACAAATAAAAAAAGTCTCTCTAACATATCCAAAGTTTCTCTAAAATTCCAAAGCCTTTTAACTGTGGACTCCTGAAAAAAAGAAGAAGAAAAAGAAGGAGGAGGAGGAGGAGGAGGAGAAGAAGAAGAAGAAGAAGAAGAAGAAGAAGAAGAAGAAGAAGAAG